TTGTGGATGGAGACAGGAGGGAGGAACTGGGAGAGAGTGAGGGAACAGAAGACACTGTACAAAAGGAAATGTATTCATTACCCGACTCTCATATCATTGTAATCCCTCAGTACATCACCTCTATAATAAAAATAAATTAATAATAAAAAAGAAAGAATATGAAGTTTAAAGTAAAACCAAAACAATTAATTCTCTAATCTCTTGGTGTGTGCATGTGTGTATGTGTATGGGCACACATACACCAGTACTGGGGCTTGAACTCAGGGCCTGGAAACTGACCCTTAGCTTTCTTGCTCATGGTTGGCACTCTACCGCTTGAGCAACCTCCACCTCTGGCTTTTGGCTGAATAACTGGAGATAATAGTCTCATGGACTTTCCTGCCTGGGCCAGCTTTGAACTGAGATCCTTAGATCTCATCCTCCTGAGTAGCTAGGATTACAGGTGTGATTACAGGTGTGAGCCCGGCTTTCTGCCTCAGTCTTGTAACCAAACCAAGTCCATTTACTAGCCATTCTTGAAGGCCAGTGCCTCAACAAGTTGTTGGAACAAGTAAAAGATTTATTTGGAGCCAGAACTCATGGCTCACGCCTGTAAATCCCAGCTATTCATGAGGTTGAGATCTGAGGATTGCAGTTAAAAACCAACCCATGAATGAAAGTTTGTGAGACCTCTTGTTAACCGGCAAAAAGTTGGAAGTAGAGCTGTGGCTCAAGTGGTAGAATGCCAGTGTTGAGTGAAAAAGCCAAGGGATAATGTCCAGGCCCTGAGTTCAAGCAACAGTATTGGCACCAACAAAAAGGGAAGAAAAAGAGAAGGAAGGAAGGAAGGAAGGAAGGAAGGAGGGAAAGGAAGAAAGAAAGAGAGAGAGAGAAAGAAGGAAGAAAAGAGGGAAGGAGGAAAGAAGGAAGGAAGGGAAGAAAGAAAAAAAGAAGGAAAGAAAGAAAGAAGGAAAGACTGATTTATTTGGAGTACAAAGGGCTTTTGAAGAGAGGGAATGGAGGAGCAGGTAGGCAATGTGTTGAGCAAAGTCTTCATACTCAGGCCATGTATTTTTTACTAGAATATCTTTTGGGCTAATAACTTACTTTCATCTCCTAAGCTAGTCTCTATTTTTTTAAACCAATATACTGTATTCCTGCAAGTTAAATATTAATTTACTTTTAATTAAAGAACAAGATTTGCCAGGCATCAGTGGCTCATGCCACTGAGCACAGATAGCTCACACCTGTAATCCTAGCTACTGAGGAGGCTGAGCTCTGAGTATCACAGTTCAAAGCCAGCCTGGGCAGGAAAGTCCATGAAACTACCTCTAATTAACTACTAAGAAAGTTGGAAGTAGAGCTGGAACTCAAGTGCTAGACTTCTGCACAAAAGCTCAGGGACAGTGCTGCCCAACCCCTGAGTTCAAGGACCAGGATTGGTGCACACGCATACACACATGCGTGCACGCATGCACACACGCACGCACGCACGCACGCACACACACACACACACACACACACACACACATAGACCTTCACCTTCTGTTTGGCTATTGTCCTCTGTCTTGTGGCACACATACTTCTCAATCCTTCACTCCCACTATCCCTACATGCTAGAATATAAACTTACAAGACAGTAAAAGCTAACTGCATTTTGTTGACTACACAGAATTCTCCATACCTACAGCATTGCCTGGCAGACTGCAGTGCTCAGTAAGGACTGGCTGAATATTATGAATTGATTAGGAATCTTATTCATGGTAGCTGGCTCAGGAATGGTCATGTTTCAAGGCAGGTGCACAACTAGATGCCTCATTGGCATTCTATTCTGTGAATTTGCATGTTGAAAAGCCCAAAAGCCCCTGTCAGTCTGAGCCAGCAGCTGTTATGCAGAGGGGAGAAAGTAAGCTTCCAGGCAGATGGGGTGGAGGAGGGGTGGGGAGATGAGTGGGCAGCAAGAGCATCTCAGAAACAGAAGGGAGGCATTGCTAATGAGCCATGACAGAACAGGAAGTATGCAGGGATCATGGTTACAGCATGTCTTTTCCTCTAGGACAAAGGGAGCCGTGATGCAGAGCACAGAGAAGAGCAGTGTTTGATTCAGCCAAAGGAGTGTGGTCAGTGCTGTATGTAGTGATGACCCCAGGAAGAAATGGCTCAAGCAGGGATCAGAATTAATATCTGAAAACAAAGTGCTTCCAAATGGGAGAATTAGTGTACATCCAGGCTTTGGGGGTGGAGTAGGGGCTTAGCAGTTTCCAACTCCAAGGTTAAAGGTACAAACAGGGAGACAAAGTCTCCTTGCATTAAACAAAATATCTCTTGAAGGGACTTCACCTCTGAATCACACATCCTACCTGAATTGGGAAAATGACTGTTCTAATTTATCCTAAATTTCCATGAAGCAGAGACATGACTAGCTCTCACTCCCCAGTCACTGGAAAACTTCAGAATCCTCTCGGTTCACTTAGTGGCCACATGGCTGTGGTTGCAACCAGGCCTCTGTTGATTTACCTTGGCATCTCTCAATTGAACACAATACTTTCTTGAGGGGTGTGTGTGTGTGTGTCCTGGAGCTTGTCCCTCAGCTCTTCAGCTCAAGGCTAATGCTCCACCACTTGAGCTGCAGCACCATTTCCAGCTGAACATAATACTTTCAATTAAGTCCTCTTCAAGGAAATTTAAAATGCTTCTATACCCAGGAAAGAAAGTATGGCCTTTTCTAGATTAAAATACACCTTAGAGTTGGAGTCAACATTTCTTTTTCTGTTTAAAAATAATATATTTGGGAGTGGGAGTTTAGCTGAGTGGTGGAGTGCTTGCTTAGAATGTGCAGGCTCCTGGGTTTGATCCTTAGTACCACAAAGCACAAAACCAAGTAAAACCACTTTGCCATTGGGATCAAAGTACTAGGAATTCTATTTTTTTCTGCAATGATACTTTGAACTTTCCTATTTATTTATTCATTTTTAATGGTTAGCAAGGTGCTGGTGGCTTACGCCACCTAATCCTAGCTATTCAGGAGACTGAAATCTGAGGATCATGGTTCAAAGCCAACCTGGGCAGGAAAGGCTGTAAGACTCTTATCTCCAATTAACCACCAGAAAGTGGCACTGTGCTTCAAAGTGGTAGAGTACTAGCCTTGAGCAAAAAGCTCAGGGACAGAGCTCAGGCCCTAACTTTAAGCCCCACAACCAACTAACCAACCAACCAACCAACCAACAAAAAGTGGTTATGGTGATGTAATTTTTTTTTCAGATTTTGTTCTAAGTATTTAACAGACTAAAGTAGAAGTGTTAGTAATTTCTCACCCCCTTCTCCCCATCTAGTCAATGGAAACCAGAAGGGCGTTCTTTCTTTGTCTAATGACTGTTGACTAGAATCTGTCAGCAACTAGGATAGAAGGGAAGAGTTTATAAAGGCAGGCTGAAGAAGTGGCGAGGAACTTGGAAGAACAGAGACTCTAAGAACTGCACAGATTTGCTGGTAGGAAGGACCAGGGTAGAAATGATGTCTGCTTCACTCTCTACTAGCTCTATTTCCAATTCACTTTGTGCATTTTTAAGTGATGGAGCCAAGCAAACTGAAAAATAATGGAAGAAATGGCTTTAAAAAAAACTTTTGGGGCTGGGAAGGTGACTCAGTGGTAAAGCACTTGCCTTGCATGCATGACGCCCTGGGTTCGATTCCTCAGCACCACATAAGCAGAAAAAAACAGCCAGAAGTGGCACTGTAGCTCAAATGGTAGAGCACTAGCCTTGAGCTGAAGAGCTGAGGGTCAGAGCCCAGGCCCAGAGTTCAGGCCCACGACCGGACACACACACACACACACACAAAACAACAACAACAACAACAAAAATCTTTTGCATAGGGGCTGGGAAGTTGGCTCAGTGGTAGAGTGCTTATATGGCATGCATGAGACCCTGGGTTCGATTCCTCAGCACCACATAAGCAGAAAAAGCTGGAAGTGGTGCTGTGGCTCAAGTGGTAAAGAGCTAACCTTGATCTGAAGAGCTGAGGGACAGTGCCCAGGCCCAGAGTTCAGGCCCCACGACCAAGAAAAACAAAACAAAAATCCCTTTTGCATTAATACTTGTCAGGGGAAAATATGGCCCTCTTGCAGCATAGTTAGAAACAGCATCCTGCCTGGATTAAGTCCATATCACATGACAAATATTCCCTGACACAGTCCCTAGATCTATCAAATTTGTAAGACAAAAGTGGCAGAATCTGAATTAATACATCCTGTTAACTGAATGTCAAGTCATCGATGGGAAATTTCCCCCATTCTCTCAGCAGGTTCGACTTTATTTATTTTTGCATAAAGAATGAACTAGAAGACAGATCTGAAACAGAAAACCTGCAGAGGGGTCGTGCAGGAAACATGGCATCCTCCAATGAATGGTCCTCTTTTTTGACTTGTTATGTGGCCCAGTTGAAATCTATGAGATCTCAAATCCAGCCAAGGTTGCTCCGTTCCTCCATTCCTGGGTGGGGCGCGGGAGATGGGGGTGGGAGAGGGCCCCAGTGTATTTTTAAAAATACAATTTTTATTACCTATGTGAGTAACTGCAACCGCAGCTCCTTTCTCACCTTACACCTTCCCCTGGGCTGCCTCCCTGGAGATGCAGGGATCTGGAAACTGGATTTCTGGCGCCCCTCTCCCAAGCCTAGCCCATCTCTTGTCCCCCGCTTCCCAGCACATAGCAGCTGGAGCCCCAGCCGCTGACGTCTGCAGCCGGCGGGTGCAGCAATAGCCGTCTTTCTCTTTCCAGACGCGCTGGAGATTTAATTTTAATTAACCGTGATTGCTATGGCCCTAAGGGCTGGCTTTACAAAACAGACATGCTCGCTATCAGTCTGTCTGTCTGTCTGTCTGTCTGTCTGTCTATCTATCTATCTATCTATCTATCTATCTATCTATCTATCTATCTATCTATCTATCTATCTATCTAATCTTCCTTCCCCCTCCCCAAGGCACCCAGAGAATATCATTTAAAAGCGAACGGGAATCTCACCCACGGGTGCCCGAGGACCCACGCCGGCGGAGGATGCGGACGGCAGCGGGAGGCGGTGGCATAGAGCGGTCCAGCCCTGGAAGGATGCAGAGCGGCGCAGCGGGGGCGGGGCCAATGGGCGGGGCCCGGAGCGACGGGGCGTGACATGGATGGTCACGTGTGCGTTTAGCCACACCCACACACTGGAGTCCTGGCAGCCTCGGGAGACTGCTCAGGAGGTGGATAATTGCCCTGCGTTAGGCAAGCTCACTCAGACGTTCCGGGGCGGTGATGGGCTCTTGGGTCAAAGGCAACAGCTGTTTGGCGGCTGGACTGCTGCAGAACAAAGTGGCCATCGTCACCGGCGGGGCCACGGGCATCGGAAAAGCCATCTCCAAGGAGCTCCTGCACTTGGGTTTGTAGGGCCTGGGCACCTTAGAGCCAGGGTCTGCAGAGTTAGCGGGGGCGGGGGGGGGGTGCTGAGTGGGGGGGGGGGGGTGTTGAGTGGTGGGGGGTGTTGAGTGGTGGGGGGGAGGGGGATCTAGTTCAAGAGCCAGGGGACGCTGGTAAAGCCGGGACAGGGTTGTTTGGAAAGCTAGAGGGGACTATAGAAGTGACTAAAATTACTATCCAAGAAAGGGAGAGTTCTTCCTGACAAATCATGGCTTAAAGCCAATGATACTATGCCCCGAGGTAGGTAATAAACAGACCTGTGAAACTGTGCTGTGCAGTTTAAGTTAATCCCTTCTAAATGTTGCCCAATCCCCTCAAATAGGAGACTGAATTTAACTGGGAAAGCTTCCCTCATTGAGAGGCTCCCATCCTACTGTCTGCTCACACTTCTTGTCATAACTATAGCAAGAAATATAGTGAATATCTTACTTGAGGGAAGGAAGTGCCTTATATACACAAACACAGGGAAAGAAGCTACAAAGGGGGAAATAGTTAAATTTTTAAAACTCATTTGTGTGTGTCTGTGCCGGTACTGAGGCTTGAACCCAGGAATTTGGGGCTACACCTCATATTTTCACTCAAGGCTGGTGTTTACCACTTTGAAACTCAGCTCTGCTTCTGGCTTTTAGACTTTTCTGCCCAGGTTGGCTTCAAACTGCCATTATCAGATCTCAGACTCCTGACTAGCTAGGATTAGGATTAGGTATGAGCTACCAGCACCCAGCTATAAAACTAATTTGTAATGAAGATCTAAATCTTCAATGAGTTTTAAAATGTAAAGTATAAAGATTGATGGAGAAATATTGACATGAGACAAATAGTGTTAGTATATTTTAAGTATTTACATGCTTGTAATCCCCGAACTCTGGAGGTGTAGCAGGAGAATAACCACTCATAACCACTCTGGACCACACACAGTAAACACAAAAAGAAAAAGAAGGAAGAGGAGGAGGAGGAAGAGGAAGAAAAGAAAGAAGAGCTCTTAGCTGAGCACCTACCCCATGAGGCTTGTATCTCCAATTAACCACCAACAAGCCAGAGGTCGAGCTGTGTCTCCAATGGTAGACAACTAGCCTTGAATTAGAAAGCTCTTATAAGGTTGCAGCACCAACAATTTGGTGGTTCATCCTTATTTTCTCATTCTTTTGTCCTTACTTAACAGGGATCTTTCTTCTTGCTTCTTTTGTTGTCCCTAGCTCCCATTTCATGGTCAGGTAGCATTTCTGCTCAAGGCTAGCACTTGAAACACAACTCCACTTCCAGTTTTCTGGTGGTTAATTGGAGATCAGAGTCTCACAGACTTTTCTGCCTCTGCCTGGGCTAGCTTAGAACTGCAGTCCTTAGATCTCAGCCACCTGAGTAGCTAGGATTACAGGTGTGAGCCACCAGTGCCTGGCTTTTTTTTTTTTCTCCCAGTTGTGGGGCCTGAGTTCTGAGCCTGGGTGCTGTCCCTCAACCCTTCAGCTCAAGGCTAGCGCTCTACCACTTGAGCCATGGTGCCACTTCTGGCTTTTTCTGCTTATGTGGTGCTGAGGAATCGAACCCAGGGCCTCATGCATGGGAGGCAAGCACTCCACCACTGAGCCACCTTCCCAGCCTGAGCCATGCTTTTTTGCGCAGTTTGGCAATCTGCATCTAGAAGTGGGGCATTTGCATGTAATGTGATTGTCAGTAGAGTTGAATCTGAATCTGTCTTGTTGTTTGCTCCTGTGTTCTGCTGTCCCCTTCACTTTTGTTTGCTTCCTTAATGTGGATTACTTGTTTATGGTTTTCCAATTCATCTCTTTTGTTAGCTTCATGCTAGTGACATATTTGCCATGTCATAGTCTTTCTTTCCATGCTATTTTGCCATTTTACATAGAAGGCAACAATGCCTTAGTAGTTTACAAAGGGTCCTAGCTTTACATACATTGAGGTGCCATAGAAAAAATGGTGCAAGCTGATACCATGCAAAGCACACTGAATAATCAAATTGTGAAGCATTCCTTAATTTTAAAAGTATTCAGTCAAAGCATTATAGATTAATTTTCTGTCAGTTATGGATGTATAAGGAAGTATAAAACAAAAAGTAGAACTAAACCAAGATAGTTTTACTGGGGTGATGTTAGGCAAAAGCCACGTTTCAGTAAAACAGGAGGATTAAATTCTGATAATTTATTGCATAGCAGGGTGACTAATAACAGTGTGGTGTATATGTCAAAATTGCTAAAAGTGTGGATTTTATTTTATTTATGTGGTACTAAGGAATCAAACCCAGAGCCTCATGCATGTTAGGTAAGCACTCTATTACTAAGCCACATTGTTAGCCCCAGTGTGGATTTTTTTTTTTTTTTTTTGGTCGTGAGGCTTGACCTCTGGGCTTGGGCCCTGTCCCTGAGCTCTTCAGCTCATGGCGAGCGCTCTACCGCTTGAGTCACAGTGCCACTTCTGGTTTTCTAGTGGTTTATTAGAGATAGGAGTCTCATGGACTTTCCTGCTCAGGCTGGCTTTGAACCATGATCCTCAGATCTCAGCCTCCTGAGTAGCTAAGATTACAGGTGTGAGCCACCGGCGCCCGGCTCAGTGTGGATTTTTAAATGTTCTTACCACAAAGAAATGTTTAAGTATGGAAGATGATATAATGATTAGCTTAATTTGATCATTCCATGGTATATGCTGATATTAAAGCATCATATATCCCATAAATAGGTACAATTAATTTCCAGGAGTAGTGAAATCCAGAAGCCTGGAAACTGAAGCAGAAAGTTGAAAGTGGAACATTGGCTTGGGCCTCATGGAAAGACCTACGTATAAATTAATTAATTGAAAAGATAGTAAAATGATATTATAAAATTATAAATTATAAAATTATAAAACCAAAAAGATAATTCCTTCCTTCCTTCCTTCCTTCCTTCCTTCCTTCCTTCCTTCCTTTCTATCTTGTTTTCTTTCTTGGGTACTGACTACTTTTATGTTCTTATACTTTTGTGCTTGCTTCACTCTTTCCTTCCTTCTCTCTGCCTCTCTCTTTTTGTCTCTTTCTGAGGCAATTACTTGGAAATAGGTTGATGTTCTGAAAGCATGCTTTTAAATTAAGTGTTTATCTGAGCAACCTTTAGTCCATTGCTAACTTTGCCCCACTTCTGAAGTTATACCCTTTAACCAGGGAAAGCCCTTTTATCTGTTTGGCACACTAACTATTCCTAGCTCTGTGTGAATGCAGGGTTTTGAGTGATTTTTTTTCCTCAGTCTGTTCATTAACTTCTAGGTACTGATCAGAACTTTGGGTGAACTCAGAAAACTGGAGGTGGCGCTGTGACTCAAGAGGTAGAGCACTTGCCTTGAGCTGAAGAGTTGAGGGACAGCGCCCAGGCCCAGAGTTCAAGCCCCACAACCAACAACAACAACAACAAAAACAACAAAACACTTTGGGTGAAAATTCAAGGGGACTCTGCAGATCTCTCTTTCATATCTGTCTATACCCTCTTGAACTAGCCTTGCTGTTCTTTTCCACCCAGGAAAACTTATAGCTCTCTCCCAAAAATAAGCAGCGTAGACATAGAGTTCATGTGTGTTTCTCCTTTCTCAGAGATGACTACTCATTTTCAGTTCAATGCGACAGGAGGTCCAATAGGCTTTGGCATGCACTGTTGCTTGTATGCCATGCAGTGTTTTAGTTGTTTCATGATCAACACAAGTACTAATTCATCTTTTTTTTGTTTTCCTTTCCTTTTCAGGAGCACACATTTTTTTCTCTTATTGTTGGACTCTGAGTAGCTCATGAAAGCCTATTCACTTGTTCTCTGGCTTTTTGTTTTTCTTTCTCTCCCTAGGATGTAATGTGGTCATTGCTTCTCGGAAGTTTGACAGATTAAACTCTGCTGCAGATGAACTAAGGGCCACCCTGCCTCCCAATAGCCAGACTCAGATCACTCCCATACAGTGCAATATCCGGAAAGAAGAGGAGGTAATACCACTATATCTGTATCATTTATTTATTACTCTTTTTTTTTGATCTGGTTGTGCTTCAGGTTCCCCTGTAAGGAGATTCCTGTGAGTTTTTGAACCGGTGATCTCAGGAGAAAGGAGTGGGAGGGAAGCAAGACAGGGACTAAGACATGACATGGTCTTTTGTCTGTTAAGGCATTTCTTTCTTTGTATTGTTATTTTTAAGGAGCTGTGCAAAGGGGTTTTAATCCCATAAATTAGGTAGGTTATGAGTACAAATGCTTATTGGTCAATGTTACTCTTTCCTTTGTTCTCCCCCATTTTTCCCTTCTGGTTCCTACCCACAAGTCACATAATTCATTTTTTTACATAATGTACATCGAATACAGTGCATTTACCCACTCTTTTGCATCCCTTCCTCCATCAAAAAAACCCATGTTTCCACTTCCTAGTGTTCATTTTGAGAAATAGTACTTTAGAGCCAGGAGCTGGTGGCTCACGCCTGTAATCCTAGCTATTCAGCAGGCTGAGATCTGAGCATCATGGTTCAAAGCCAGGCAGGGCAGGAAAGTTCATGAGACTCTTATCTCCAATAAACTACTCAAAGTGCCAAAAGTGTTGCTGTGGCTCAAATGGTAGAGCGCTAGCCTAGAACACAAAGAGGCTCAGAGACAGTGCCCAGACCCTGAGTTCAAGCCCCAGGATTTCGGGGAAGAGAGAATGGTAAGGAGGGGAAGAGGGAGAGGAAGAGGAGGAGGAAAGGGAAAGGGAGAGGGAGAAAAGAAATAGTACTGTAGGTGTTTAGAGAAGTTATGCTTTTGGACTCCTCCCTAAGTATACCCCCTTTTAGTCAGTTCATTTTCATGTAGCCCTGTGTATGTTATCATGCCTATTTATATTTTAGATCTAGTTTCCACGTATGAGAGAAAATGTGTTCTTTGTCTCTATGAGTCTGGCTTAATTCACTTAATTAGAGGAGTAAAATTCCATTGTGTATATGTACCACATCTTCTTGATCCACTCATCTGTTGTAGGGCATCTGGGATGTTTCTGTAACTTGGCTGTTGTGAACAGTGAAGCATTGAACATGGATTGCAAGTATCTTTACCATATCCTGACTTGTATTGCTCTGGGTAGATGCCTAGGAGTAGTATGACTGTGTCATAGGGCATTTCTATGTTTCATTTTTTGAAGAAACTCTATAAACTGTTTAAGGCATTTCTTAATGTTAATTTTGCCCAATTTCTTCACTGTATTTTGAGGTGCTTATAAATTAGTACAACAGATACCATACTTAGCAGTGATTCAGGCCCTTGGATAAATCTTGTCATCAGAATTGCAATTTTACCTTTATATATGAGTATTAAATATTGGGAAATTATTCATGGTATCAGAATTTTAGGTTTGTTCATTGTGACTTCCTGTTCATTGGTTATGCCTCTCAGTTTCTGTTTCACTTCTAGAATAAGTGACTGGTCCAATTAGCAAGGTAGGTTATTAAACTTTGGACTTTTGTTTGTTTGTTCTGTATTTTTTTTTTCTGGGGCTGTGGCTTGAACTCAACGTCTGAACACTGTCACTGAATTTTGGTGCTCAAGACTAGCACTCTACCACCTGAGCTTACAGCTCCACTCCTGGCTTTTTGATGATGAACTGGAGATGAAAGACTCACTGAGTTTCTTGCCTGGGCTGGCTTTAATTCTTAATCTTCAGATGTCAGCCTCCTAAGCAGCTAGTATTAGAGGCCAGAGCCACCTGTGCCCGCCTTAAACTTTGGACTTTTAGTAACCTTACTTTGACTTTTAATTTTTTTTTCTTGTCAGGTGGATAATTTGATAAAATCAACTTTAGCTGTTTATGGTAAGATCAATTTCTTGGTAAACAATGGAGGAGGCCAGTTCCTGTCTCCTACTGAGCATATCAATTCAAGGGGATGGAATGCTGTGATTGAAACCAATCTGACTGGCACCTTCTACATGTGTAAAGCAGGTGCGTGTCATAAAAGCTGCAAAAACCAACTTGCCTTATTGAGCTCCATGAGGTCGTTGAGAATGCTGAATGAGCATCAATGGGGGACTCAGAAGCCTGTCATTCATATTTAACCCCCATTCATTTTTTATCCAGTATTCTATCAAAAATCATACATTGCATTTTTAAATGTTTCTTTCATTTTACCTGATTTTTTAAAAAAATCCATTTTCTCTTTAATTCTGTGTGTACATGTATGTCCATACCAGGGCATGAACTCTGAGCCTCACAATCTCACTTGGCCTTTCACTCAAAGCTAACACTCCAAGCTGGGTGCTGGTGGCTCACGCCTATAATCCTAGCTATGCAGGAGACTGCGATCTGAGGATCATGGTTCAAAGCCAGCTCAGGCAGGAAAGTTCTTGAGACTCTTATCCCTAATAAACCACCAGAAAACCAGAAGTAGCACTATGGCTCAAGTGGTAGTGTGCTTGCCTTGAGCTGAAGAGCTGAGGGACAGTGCCCAGGCCCAGAGTTCAAGCCCCACAACCGAAAAAAAAAAAGCTAGTACTCTACCACTTGAGCCTACAGCTGCATTTCCATCCTCTCTATGGTTAATCAGAGATAAGCATCTCTCAGGTTTGTTTGCTTGGGCTAGTTTTGCACCTAGATTCTTAGATTTCAATCTTTTAAGTAGGTAGGATTATAGGTATGAACCACCAGAACCTGGTCTTCTTTTTTAATTTATTAACATATTTCATAACATTGATTTAGACAGTGTATCAAACGTTGTATTCTTTTTACTTTGTGGTGATATGAGTACTTATATTTGTTTATTTTGTGCCTATACTGGGGCTTGAATTCAAGTATTGGCTGCTGTCCCTTAGCTTTTTTACTGCAGGCTGACATTCTGCCACTTGAGCCACAATTCCACTTCTGGATATTTGGTGATTAGTTGGAGATTAGAGTTTCATGGACTTTCCTATCTGGGCTGGCTTCAACCCCTGATTCTCAGATTTCAGCCTCCTGAGTAGATAGGATTATAGGTGAGAACTACCAGCATCCTGCAAGCTTTATCTTATGATTTATCAAATTATCCTCCTGAGTATTTTGTAATATGCTATATTGTCTAAACACAACCACTGTATTCTAAAAATTAAAAATGATATTTATAATTGTAAGATTCCACCAACTATAGAGACTGTAAATTCACCAATATAAATATAATGAAAAAATTGTCTTAGACTTAAAAATAATATATGTGTGTCTTTTCCAGAACTTACCTTCTTTTTTTCCTGTTATTTTTATGAATTGGTATGAATTCACAGGGAACCATTAAGTAATGACCAAGTTTTCTTATTTTTTTCTGTAGTGTATAACAGAACTAGATATCAAATTTTCTCTCATCTTCTAATTCTAAGATTCATATTTCACTGAGCACTGGTGGCTCATGCCTATAATTCTAGCTGCTCAGGAGGCTGAGATCTGAGGGTTGCAGTTCCAAACAGCCTGAGAAGGAAAGTCCATGAGACTCTTATCTCCAATTAACCACCAGAAAACTGTGGTTCAAAGTGGTAGAGCACTAGCTTTGACCAAAAGAGCTCAAGGACAGGGACAGTATCCAGGTCCTGAGTTCAAGCATCATGACTTACATCAATAGAAAGAGGATATTTTTATTAAAGACTGTCTAGAGGCTGGGAAGGTGTCTCAGTGGTAGAGCACTTGCCTTGCATGCCTGAGGCCCTGGGTTTGATTCCTCAGCATCACATAAGCAAAAAGCCGGAAGTGGCGCTGTGGCTCAAGTGGTAGAGCGCTAGCCTTGAGCTGAAGAGCTGAAGGACAGCGCCCAGGCCCAGAGTTCAGGCCCCACAACCGGACCCAAAAAATAAATAAATAAATAAAAAATAAAGACTGTCTGGAGTACATATCTATCATTATCTTGTTTTGAATGAATAGCATAAATGCTTCACAAAGAATAAACCATTTAAGAAGGGAATTAACAAAAGATGTGTAAGATCTATATGCAGAAAACTTCAGAAAACCAAAGAGAGAAATTAAAGATTTAAACAATGTATAGGTATTGTGCTGTGGATTGAAAGAATCAATATTGTTTAGATGGTAGCTCTTCCCAAGTTGATTTACAGAATGAATACAATTCCTGTCAACTTTTGCAGAAATTAACAAGCTGATCCTAAAATACCTATGGAAACATAAAAGCCTCAGAATCGCCAGAACAGTTTTGAGGCTTGTATCTCTTGATTTCAAAGCTACTTCTTGATTTTAAGACAGTATGGTACTGGGCATAAGAACACATGTGTACATCATCACCATTGATCATTAGGGAAGTCCATATCATAACTCCAACAAGGTAACACAGCACCCTCAGTAGACTTGCTACAATCAAAAAATAAGATGAGGGCTGGGAATGTGACTTAGTTGTAGGGTGCTTGCCTAGCATGCATGAAATCCTGGGTTTGATTCCTCAGTACCACATAAACAGAAAAATCCAGAAGTGGTGCTGTGGCTCAAGTGCTAGTATTGAGCAAAAAGAAGCTCAGGGACAGTGCCCAGTTCAAGCCTCAGGACCAGAAAAAAAAAAGGCATGTATATACATCCTAGCTATTCAGGAGACTGAGATCCAGAGGATCACAGTTTGGAGCCAGCCTCAGCAGAAAAATCCAGATATCAGTCTCCACAATAGCTACCAAAATGCATGGCTCAAGTGGTAGAACACTTTCTGAGTGGCCAAGCTAAGCAAGTCTGAGTTCAATCTCAGTATTGGAGTGTGGGGAGAGGGAGACGGGGCGGGGAAGTGGTAGGGAAATTAAGTGTAAAAATTTTCTGATGTGTTGGGCTGGGAAGGTGGCTCAGTGATAGAGCACTTGCCTTGCATGCCTGAGGCCCTGAGTTTGATTCCTCAACACCACATAAACAAAATGAAAAAAGCTGGAAGTGGTGTATGGCTCAAGTGGTAGAGCGCTAGCCTTGAGCTGAAGAGCTGAGGGACAGCGCCCAGGCCTAGAGTTCAGGCCCCATGACCGGACCCCCCCCCCCAAAAAAAAAAAAATTCTGATGTGTAAATTATGCCAAGCCACCGTCAGGCTTTTTATAAAAATAAAGGCCACATAAATTAAAATGTAGCATATAACAGATAGAGATTGTGCTACAACAGTTGTCAGGGAAGAGAAAGGACACTAATATTGTCATTTGTCTGTATTCCACAGCTTACAGTTTCTGGATGAAAGAGCATGGAGGGGCTATTGTGAATATCATTGTTCTTCTTAAAAATGGATTTCCAGGGTTTTCGTAAGCATTTTATACTTTTATTCTTCCTGTTGTTAGATTTTATCTTCTGAGTAGGGAAGAGCTGGTAGGGAAGTTTCCTTTACTCAGTATGGCTCCGTTTAATGAGTGAGACCTCAACATTTACATTTGCTTTTGTTTGGACTTTAAAAATGTTCTTTGGAGGGGCTGGGAATGTGGCTTAGTGGTAGAGTGCTTGCCTAGCAAGCATGAAGCCCTGGGTTCAATTCCTCAATACCATATACACAGAAAAAGCTGGAAGTGGCGCTGTGGCTCAAGTGGTAGAGTGCTAGCCTTGAGCAAAAGAAGCTCAGGGACAGCGCCTAGGCCCTGAGTTCAAGCCCTTGGACTGGCCAAAAAAAAAAAAAGTACTTTTGAAACATATTCATTCAGATTAAGATTTGTCATATTTACTATGACAGGAGGAAAAACCAGGATGTCTGGTTAAATAATTTTTAGTGTAAGTATGTCCCAAATAACATGTAGGCATACTTACACTAAGAGCATGTATTACTTATCTGTGGACATGAAACACACGTATATATTAAAAATATACCTATTTACTGTTGGGGCTTCTAAATTATGACTCCCAACAGTAAGCTCAAATTTTATCCAGTAATTTTCTAGGGTTTTGTACTTTTTTTATGGTTGGTCATAGGCTTGAACTCTGGCCTGGGTGCTGTTCTTGAGCTCTTCAGCTCAAGGCAAGTGCTCTACCACTTGAACCACAGCGCCACTTCTGGTTTTCTGGTGATTAATTAGAGATAAGTCTCACGGGCTTTCCTGCCCAGGCTGGCTTTGAACCTCGATCCCCAGATCTCAGCTTCTGAGTAGCTAGCATTACAGGCGTGAGCTACCAGTGCCCGGCTAGGGTTTTGTGCCTTAATGATGTTAAACAATAAGAAATACTGAGATGAATCAGATACACCCACATTCTTAGGGAGCACACAATTAGTGGGGAGGGGAGCAGGAGAACCATCAGATGGAATACAAGATGTAGTAACCTGAGAAAGGTACTTGCAAGTGTGCAGGCTGGGAGCAGGAAGGGTCAACAATTCTTAACACATCCCAAAAGTTAACTTGAACTTGGGTTAACACAGGAGGAGAAAGGAAGGCAACGGGACAAGATGTTCCATGGGGATGTACAGATATTTGAAATGCTTTGGGGAATTATAAATAATTCCTTTTGAAGAAGTGGGGGGGGGGGTGGCAGAAGGGAAGTTCAGACTTGAGCATAAAGCAGGAGTCACAGGATCTTAAACGCTGTAGAGAAGAGGTTGAGCATCATCTGCAGATCTTTTCTTTGTGCTGGAATTGGAATTTGAACCCACAGCTTTTTGCTCTCACTTGACTTTTTCTCACACTTGCTTTTTTAGATACTTGGCCTGCCTATCATGGCTGGCACTCTACCACTTGAGCCATGCCTCCAGTCCAACATTTTTGCTGATTAATTAGAATGTCTCATGGGCTTTTTTGCCTGGGCTGCCTTTGAACCTTGATCCTCAGATCTCAGCTTCTTGAGTAGCTAGGATTACCGGCGTGAGTCTTTGGTGCCTGGATTATCTGTGGTTCTTCTAGTGGGGACTGTGACTCTGGGGCTGTCTGTACATGATTGTGGGGGGGACATTGTTTATGCAGTGAGAGATTTGTTTGATAGCTGAGATTTCTCTTTAATATTGAAGGACCAGTTATTTCCCCATTGTAGACAGAGACTCAACAATGACGCTTAAAAGAATATTTTTGTGGAGTTGAGCACTTGTTAACTTAGCTAATGAGAAGAATATTCAACAGAAGCTAATCACAATGTTTCTCTTGGGTCTTTAAAGGCATACCGGAGCTGCCAGAGCTGGTGTTTACAACCTCACCAAATCCTTAGCTGTGGAGTGGGCTAGCAGTGGAGTAAGGATCAACTGTGTTGCCCCTGTACGTAAATGTTCTAATACGAAATCTGTGGACAAATTGGTGTCCTTCTGATTCCATTTGTGCTGTTAATCTTATCATTAACTGCATAATAGGTAGTATTTATTAAAAATATATACTAATTACATATATATATATATATATATATATATATATATATATAAAATCTCTGAGACTCTTATCTCCAATAAACTACTCAAAAGAGCTGGAAGTGGCAGTGTGGTTCAAGTGGTAGAGCACTAGCCTTGGGCATAAAGAAGCTCAATGACAGCATGCAGGCCCAGAATTCAAGCCCCAGGCAGGTCTGGCAAAAAGAAAAATTGTTATTGTGAAATAAGCTACAGCTTATTATATGAATAGTTCACTAATCCTATAGCTATCAGTTAAAGTCCCACGTTGTCAATCATGTCTGCTTGTTGCTAAGGTGGAAATAATCTCTCCATCTGAAGCTCCATCATACCTATGGATATTATCCACAGATCTGACATATGAAAGTTATAGATCTTCAGTCTTGATAGCAGCAAACATCCACCAAACTAAAAATATGTTTAGAATATTTTACTTACTGGGGGCTGGGAAGGTGGCTCAGTGGTAGAGCGCTTGCCTTGCATGCCTGAGGCCCTGTGTTCAATTCCTCAGCACCACATAAGCAAAAAGAAAAAAGCCGGAAGTGGCACTGTGGCTCAAGTGGTAGAGCGCTATCCTTGAGCTGAAGAGCTGAGGTATAGCACCCAGGCCCAGAGTTCATTCAGGCCCCACGACCGGACCCAAAAAAATAAAATAAAATAAAATAGAATATTTTACTTACTGGTAGTAATACACAGTCCATGGGATACATTTGACAAACATCATAAGAAAAAAATTGAAAATAAACAACTCCACAAACACATTTTTTATTTTACTCAAAAAGAATTAATTAAGGGAAATACAAAATAGTCTACAAGATTTGGAGTATTTTAAAAATTAACTTGACAGAGCCAAGCATCTTTCTGTGAATTTGTGGTTTTGATCTTTCTCTAGAGATCTTCATTTTAAAAATTATTTCAAACATTTTGGTGATTTAGTTTAAAATATAAGGATTTAGGAGTAAAATCTATTATATCTATCTAATGATAGCATACTGCGTCCATGAGTTTGTATTTTTAAATGCTGATTAAAAAATGACACATCTATAATCTTAAATAGTACATTTGTGTTAATAAGACATAATTTTCCAATGATTGTTTAGCAAAATATAAAACAAAACCATACACTGTCAGAAAAAGAAAGTAATATCAACTGGAAACAAAAATTACTTTCTTTTCTAATTACTAAGAGAATAAAATATTTTATAATACTAAAAAAAAAGTTATAGATCTTTTTATCCAGGTGGCTCAGAGCATGAACTGACTTGCTGACATTAGTAGAGAAAGATATGAAGTTATGGTATTATGGCCAGAAACTTCGTTAATTCTTTAATCCTCCATGTGTGCTATTACCTGCCCTGAGTTTCACTCAAACATTTACAGGGAAAATAAATGACAGTTCCTTTCTTAATGTGGACAGCTTGACATACTGGCTTTTAAACATGCATTTCTTAGAAACTCTTAATGGCATATTGTTAGGAAATACATTACTAATTCATTTTTGTCCACGGATGTTTTTAGGCTTAATATCTAAATTTTCTTCTTCTTCTTCTTGGTTTTTTTTTTTTTTGGTCTGTTTTGGAACTTAAACTCAGCCTGGGCGCTGTCTCTCAGCTCTTCAGCTCAAGGCTAGCACTCTACCATTTGAGCCACAGTGCCATCTCCGGTTTTCTGGTGGTTTATTGGAGAGATAAGAGTTTCACAACCTTTCCTGCCCGGGCTGGCTTTGAACTGTGATCCTCAGATCTCAGCCTCCTGAGTAGCTAGGATTACAGGCAAGAGCCACTAGTGCCCAGCTAAATTTTCTTCTTTTTTGGAGATTTTGTCCTCCTTAAATAAAATGTTGTGAATTGTATAATTGGGATAATTAATACTGACAGACTTCCTTTTTTGGCTGAGTCGTCTTTCCTCCTCTCTAGTGACAGATAAATGGAAGAATACTTAAACAATTAAATTTTAAAAGTTTATTTACTTTGAATTCGAAGTTTGTTTTTTGTTGGTTTGTTTCCATTTTTGTATTTGTCCTGGGGCTTGAACTCTGGTCTGGGTGTTGTCCCTGCGCCTTTATGCTCAAGGCTGGCACTCTGTCAATTGAGCTAACTTTTTGGTGGTTAATTCTCATGGACTTTCCTTCCCAGGCTGGTTTCGAACTGGCCAAAGGTTTCATTTTTATTTCACTCTTGACAAAAAGCTAGCTGGGGGTATGGTTCAAATGGTAGAACACCTGCCTGACTTGCCTCAGGGTCACCAATAACAAGAACCACAAAGTATTCTACAGGAAAAGCCAAAAAACCCACACATCTCTTTAAGTGTCACACATAGGCATTGCTCAGTTTTCTCTGTAAAGATAGGATATGTAACGGAAGATAAAGTACATTTTCCTCACTGGTCCACTTAATGTAAGTATGCTCTTCAAAAACAAAGTCTTTTATGAAAAGTCCAGGTCTTGGCTGGCCCTTAAGGGAGAGGCGATCAGTCAGTAGATGAGAATTCAGATGATACCATTGTGGATGGTGGTTGGTTTTGACTTCGAGTAAAATTGATATTAGAAATTTTAAACCATGTAATTTTTTATATTGGCCAATGGATGACCTTGATTTTTTTTTTAATCTCAGTGTTTTCCTTGCTGCTTTCTTTTGCAGTGTGAGGTCAAACCCAAGTCCTTACCTCAAGCATGCTAGGCAAACATGACCGTCATGCTACAACTTCAGCCTGATGCCTTTTACTTACTTTATCTTCTTGCTTTATTTTTCATCCTAGGGTATAATTTATTCCCAAACAGCTGTCAGTAACTATGGTGATTTGGGACAAGGCATGTTTGAAAGAGCCTTTCAGAACATCCCAGCTAAACGAATTGGAATTCCGGAGGAGGTAATATTCATTTCTTTCATTTTTTAGAATGACTACCTTTCATACATAGGAAACATATCAGCCTTTTAATGTGGTCTGATTGCTGGTAGAGATGATTTCTCCCACTGCCACCAACCCTGTCTCCTGAGCTTCTGGACGTGGGAATATCCTGATGTGCTTCAGCTGCTAAGAGCCAACTCTTCTTGAGACTCAATGCAGTGTGATTTAAGGACAACAGGCTTGGAAGTGGCGCTGTAGCTCAAGTGGTAGAGTGCTCGCCTTGAGCTGAAGAGCTCAGGGACAGTGCCCAGGCCCAGAGTTCAAGCCCCATGACCGACAAAAAAAAAAAAAAAAAAAAAAAAAAAAAAAAAAGGACAACAGGCTTTGGTTGTTTCATGTGACTTTTCAGCTACATTATTTTGTTATATAACATTTGTTAGTGCACAGAACCCTAAACAAGATAGATAATTTATTTATTTATTTATTGCTTGTGGGGCTTGAACTTAGGGTATGGGCACTGTCCCTGAGCTCTTTTGCTTGAGCCTAGTGCTCTATCACTTTGAGCCACAAAGCCACTTCTGGTTTCCTGGTGGTTAATTGGAGATAAGAGTCTCACAGACTTTCCTGCCCACCTGGCTTTGAATCTTGACTTTCAGATTTTAGCCTGAGTAGCTGGGATTACTGGTGTGAGTCACCAGTGCCTGTCAAATCAGATGATTTTTGTCTTTATAAAATTGCACGTGAAATTTCAGTAAGGGAACCTGACTGAAGTATGGAGAGATCAGTATCTTTCTCAAATGTCAACAATAGCTGGGCGCTGGTGGCTCATGCCTGTACTCCTAGCTACTCAGGAGGATGAGATCTGAGGATCATGGTTCAAAGCCAGCCCAGGCAGGAAAGTCCATGAGACATTATCTCTAATAAACCACCAGAAAACCGGATGTGGTGCTGTGGCTCAAGTGGTAGAGCGCTTGCCTTAAGCTGAAGAACTGAGAGCGCCCAGGCCCAGAGTTCAAGACCCACAACGGACAAAAAATAAAAATAAATCAGTGTTTTCAAATTGGACATTGGTGGTTCACACCTGTAATCCTCGCTACTTTAGGAGACTGAGATCTAAAGATAGCAGTTCAGAGCCAGCCTGGGCAGGTAGTCCATGAGATTCTTTTCTCCAAGTAAACACCAAAAGGAGGAAGTAGGGCTATGGCTCACATGGCAGAGTACCAGCTAAAAAGTTAAGGGACAGTGCCTCGGCCCTGAATTCAAACTCCAGGACCACACATATTTTCACATATCTTCACAAGCGTAATTTCCATAGGAATAATAAAAACCTAAAATACCTAGAAGTAAGCTTAGCTCTTTTTTTTTTTTTTTTTTTGGTCTGTTGTGGGTCTTGAACTCTGGGCCCGGGTACTGTCCCCTCAGCTCTCCAACTCAAGGCTAGTCTGTACTTTCTGGTGGTTAACTGGAGTCTCATGGAAGTTCCTGCCTAGGCTGGATTTGAACCACGATCCTCACATCTCAGTCTTCTGAGTAGCTAGGGTTATAGGAATAAGCCACCAGTGCCTGGCAGCTGTATTTTTAAAAATCTTTTTAAAAAATCTTTTTTAAATCTTTTTTTTTTTTTTACTGAAGAAGAACAATAAAAAAAAATGCCAGAGTTGAAACATATCATATTACTGTCAAGTTTCCCTAAATTGATCTATAAATTTAATACCGTTTTGGAATTTAACACATAGATTCTAAAATTGTAGAAAAATATTTATGAGGCCAGGTGCTGGTAGCTTATGCCTACAATCCTAGCTACTCAAGAGGTTGAGATCTGAGGATCATGGTTAAGCAAGCCCAGGCAGAAAATCATGACTCTTATCTTCAATTAGCCAGTAAAAAGCTGGAAGTAGAGTTGTGGCTTAATTGATAGAGCTCCTGACTTGAGTGAAAAAGCTAAATGACAATGCTCTGGCCCTGAAACTAAACCCTAATAGTAATGCATGCATGTGCATGAGCGTGAGTACACACACACACACACACACACACACACACACACACACACGTGGAAAAATATTTTAAAAAAATAATAGGGAAGTGGCGCTGTGGCTCAAGTGGCAGAGCACTAGCCTTGAGCTGAAGAGCTGAGGGACAGCACCCAGGCCCAGAGTTTGAGCCCCACAACCAACCAAAAAAAAAAAAGAATAATAGGAGGATTTGCCCTTCGAGATGCCATGGAGCTAGGGCTGGGAAGGTGGCCTAGTGGTAGAGTGCTTGCATGCATGAAGCTCTGGATTTGATTTCTCAGTACCATATACACAGAAAAAGAATGGAAGTGGTGGTGTGACTCAAGTGGTAGAGTGCTAGCCTTGAGCAAAAGAAGTGCCTAGGCTCCAGGTTCATTCCCCAGAACTGGCAAAAAAAAAAACACCAAAAACCAAAAAACAACCATAGGGGCTGGGAAGGTGGCTCAGTGGTATAGTGCTTGCCTTGCATACATGAGGCCCTGGGTTCGATTCCTCAGTACCACATAAGCAGAAGTGGTAGAGCGCTCGCCTTGAACTGAAGAGCTGAGGGACAGCGCCCAGGCCCAGAGTTCAGGCCCATGACCCACCAAAAAACAAAACAAAACAAAAAATACAGAGTTATATTAATGTACAGTGTGTAGCACTGATATTGGGGTAGATTATTAGTAAAACTAAATGAATTTGTGATTCAGTACTGTGTACAAATGAGAGTTTAAATAAATATCAAGGTAGCATTTTAGATCTTTGAGGAAAAAAGAGATTCAGCAAAAGCCTTAAAAAATGCCTATTTAGAAGTAAATTAGGTCTTATAACTTGCCTATAAAGTTAAAAACAAAACTTTTAGGCGAAAATGTGCTTGTACATTCTATAACTAGCTCCTAACATGTTTGAGATATATATATATATATATATATATAATTCTAGAAATTCACTCTGCATACCTAAAATAGTAACATTTACTGATTATTTTACAAAAATGGAATGCTGTTCTATGCGCTTTCACATATTATTACTGTAATGGGTTTTGACAGTCTGTTCTGTATATTCAGATTCTACTCATGTTTCTGTGACTGCAGAAATCTGACAGAGAGCATCCCTGAGTTCAAGCTTCAGGACTGGCCAAAAAAAAAATATAAAATAATTCTCACAGACATTTCTGCCCTGGCTGGCTTTGAACCATGACCTCATGATCTCAGACTATTGAGTAGCTAAGGATTATAGGTGTAAGCCATTGGCATTCAGCTTTTCATATTAGAAATTTAACCCCTCCCCCCTAAAATGAAGAGATGTTTACTTATTTGGGAGTCTTGAATTGTTGCTCATGGCTGGTCACTTTCCTGACTGCAGCAGTGCTCAAAGAACGCTCTCTGTGTCTTATCGCTGATGGCAGTTGTAGAGGAATAGCAAGGATTCCCCTTACAGTCCTGTGATTTGAGATGGGTTTGCAGGGGAATGTGAAGCACTGCAGATAGAGAGGAGCCTTTGCTTTCATGTATGTATTTGTGTGCTTCTGTTTCCAGGTCTCTCCCCTGGTATGCTTCCTGCTCTCCCCTGCGGCCTCCTTTATCACTGGACAGGTGGTGGATGTGGATGGAGGCCAGTCTCTCTACACAAATGGGACTGAAATACCAGGTGAGCAGTAAAAGGATGAATTAGTCATTTGCTGTGTGCCTTTCTGTGTGTGTGCCAGTACCAGTGCTGGAACTCAGGGTCTTGTTCTGTTGCTCAGTTTTCTTGCTCACAGCAGGAGCTCTACTATTTGCATCATGGGTCTAGTCCAGCATTTTGCTTGTTAATTGGTAATAGAGCCTCAGAGTTTTCTTTGCCAGCTGGCTTGGAATTATAATCTTCCAGGCTTCCTCAGTAGCCAGGATTATAGCTGTGAACCACCAACCACCTGGCTCTACATGCCTTTTTGTGTTCAAGTGTTCAATTAAAATTTTTTTTTATTGGGGCTGGGAAGGTGGCTCAGTGGTAGAGTGCTTGCCTTGCATGCATGAGGCCCTGGGTTCGATTCCTCAGCACCGCATAAGCAAAAAGAAAAAAAAGCCGGAAGTGGCGCTGTGGTTCAAGTGGTAGAGCGCTAGCCTTGAGCTGAAGAGCTCAGGGACAGGGCCCAGGCCCAGAATTCAGGCCCCACAACCAGAACCCCAAAATAAAAACAAAATTTTTTTTTTTATTATCTTCAAGTAGTTGCATAAAGAAGTTCCCATTCTACAAAACAGTATATGAATACAAAGTGTCTGACAACACTGTCACCCATCGCTCCTAAGCCACCCCTCCTCTCACTACTTTTCATTTCTTTTTTTTTTATGTGTGTATGTGTTATTATTATTATTATTTTTTTTTTTGGTCAGTCGTGGGGTCTGAACTCTGGGCCTGGGTGCTGTCCCTCAGCTCTTTAGCTCAAAGCTAGCACTCTATCACTTGAGCCACAGCACCACTTCTGGCTTTTTCTCCTTATGTGGTGCTAAGGAATGGAACCCAGGGCCTCAGGCATGCAAGGCAAGTGCTCTACCACGGAGCCACCTTCCCAAGCCCTTTTCTTACGTTTTTACTTGCATGATGTGAGCTTTCTCAAGGAGAGCTCTGGCTGTGGGCTCTCAAGGCTGTGGGCTTCTCTGCGTTCCTATCTAGCTGGTCTGAGAGCTGGAGAAAGGGACTTTGTTCCAGTCTAAAATCCTGTTTGAGACTGGCCATTGTACTTCCCAGTTGCCACAGCCAGAAGAATGTAGAGTGCTGTTTGGATGTCTTGAGTTCAGGCATCAGGCCAGAGTGCACACACCTCCATTACTCAGCAGGCACAGGGGTATCCTTCCACAGACAGCAAGGCCGTCACTCAGGAACAATCACCTCCCCAAAATTGGGGAGCGCATTTGCGAAGCCTCTGTCATTTATCCTGAAGATGTCTTTTTCCTTGCCTGGGTGAGGTGAGCGGTGGGAGGTGGTGACAGCTTTCCCCTTCCTTGACAGATCACGACAAGTGGCCAGAAGGACCCGGAGACCTTTCCATGGTCAGGAAGTTGAAGGAATCGTTTAAGCAGAAGGCCAAGCTCTAGGCGAGGGCCAGGCTGCTGCTGCCGTCGTTCCGAGCGCCCTGACATCTTGAGCACTCCAGTCTGGCTTTGTGACTGGGGTGAAGAAGATCGCTTCTCTTTCTCGCGTTATTGATTGTATCTCTGCCAACCCTGTGCCTAAAGTACATGCATTTGAATGCATTTGAACCGTGCCTTCAGACCTGTGACTAGTGAGGTCGACATACTTTAATTCCCTCTAAGGGAAAAACTTGAGGAAAAAAAATTAAACGTAATCATTAGAGGCATCCTGACCTCCCCAGAGGGTTCTGATTGAACTAGAACGGGAGACAGTTCATCTAAGTTGAGTCTGTTGTGAGTGCCGCAGGTGGAACGTACTGGAACGTACGCGGGAGTCTGCGATCGGTGCCAGCTGCAGCTCGTCTGGCCGACGAGGCTGAGTCTGCAGGAGCAGCCCGCGGGGGTCGGGCCGCTCCGCGGGCCGCGGACAGCCTGCGGTCCTGTCATCACGGACCTGCTGGCGGCCTGGGGGCCGGGATCGCCAGCGTGGAGGGCGGTTCGAAGCCAGCCCGGGCAGCCCCGCCGGCCAGACTCGCATCTCCGAGGCACAACCCACCCGGAGGCCGGCACCGGAGCTCCGGTCCCGCGCGGCTCCGCGCCGCCCCGGAGCACACGCGCTAAGGGAGGCCGCCCCGGCCGCGAGTTCAAGGCCTGGTCCCGGCGCGCACGCGCACAGGAGCCCGCTCGGGGCGGGTCCGCAGGCCCGCGCGGCGCTCAGAGAGCTCGGACCTCCGAGGGGGGAACGGGGAGGGCCGCCGCGGATCAGAGACCACGCGGGCGGGGAGCTCGGCGTGCGCCGCGCAGCCCGGTCTCTCGTGAGAAAGATCTGGGCCGCCGGCCGCCGACCGCCGACCCGCTCGCGCACGGTGCACCGCGGGTGTGAAGCCCGCAGCCCAGCCGGCCCCGGCAGCCAGCCCTGGCCCGGGACCCGGGCTCCCGGAGCCGGCCCCGGCCCCCCGGCCGGCGCGGAGGTGGAGCCAGCCCCTCCGTGACCACGCCCCTCAGACGGTGAGGGCGGGGACATGCAGAATAGGGAGGAAGCCTCAGCCCGGGGGACGCCGGGATAACCGCGGACTCAACATTTCGAGTCAAAGGCGACCAAAGTAAATTCGATCGGGAGTGTGATGAGGTTTATTTCTGAATGGATGAGGCGGAGGAGCTAGAGAAGCGAGGTCGTGTTTGTGACCGCGAGTGCAATGTGTAGGAGCGGCGTAGGGAAGCGGTGAGGCGAGACGGTCGGGTATCGCTTCTCGGCCTTTTGGCTAAGATCAAGTGTAGTATCTGTTCTTATCAGTTTAATATCTGATACGTCCTCTATCCGAGGACAATATATTAAATGGATTTTTGGGCTTCGGAGATGGAATAGGAGCTTGCTCCGTCCACTCCACGCATCGACCCGGTATTGCAGTACTTCCGGGAACGGTGCATCCCTTCGGGGAACATTTGTGGTGTTTCAATAGTAGACTTGGTGGGGTGCGGTCTTAGCTTCTCTATTTAACTCTTTTTCCTTCTCATCTATCAGAGGTATCTATGATTGTCTGTCTCGCTTACTTTGTATTTTCTTTTTTTGGCCCTCTAGCCCTTTGTCTCTGCCCGATCTCGCGGGATCTATTTTGCTGCTGGTTTTTTCTTTTTCTGCCTGCCTTTTTCATCGCTTTTCGGGCAGGGTGTCTGCAATACAGTGGCGGTCTTTTTGCTACTTTACCTCGGCGGGGGACGTTCTTTCCCGTTTTTCAGTACTTTGTGCTCGCCAAGCAACTGCCACTCTTCTAAGCTTTCTCGCTTGTGGGTGGCTTTGTATTTTCTGCAAGTCTTGAGTTCACATGTTGAAAGTGTCCTTACACTCAGCCGCTGTGCCCCGTTGGTGGCAAGTAAACGACATGAAGTGCCTCCCAGTCTATGTGGCTTAAAACAGACTCCCCCCTGGGTAGAGACTGTAGGCTTCCCTAGTTCTACTTCAGGAGGTCGTTATGAATGAAACTAAACTGTAAAGGACACATCCTACCAGCCTGCCCAGGTCCGCTGTGGACGACAGCAGTCAGGTGGCGTCGCCCATCTTATTCCTTTACCGTGGAAGGCCCCTGGCTGGAAATTACACCTGACCACAGTCGGGTACAGGACGAATGGCCACGGGTTCCAGGGAGGACTTGTGGGATGGCTGAGGAAATCAACAGCTCTGCTCCTGGGAGAGCAGAATTCTTTGGTTCAGAATCTCACTTGTCATTTTTCCAGGACGCCTGTCTCTTTCTTCTTTGTGGGGTGTCAGGGAAGCCTTCCTATTTAGAGATGAAAGGAAGAACTTACAGCCAGAACAAGAGTTGCTCGTGTGAGCAGTCTCTGTCTGTCTGTCTCTGTCTCCCTGTCCTGTCCTGTCCTTGAGCTCAAGGGTAGCTCCCTACAACAGCTTCTGGCCTTTTGTGATTAGACTTTCCTGCCTGGTGTAGCCAGGGTTACAAGTGTGAGCCGCCAGCACCTGCCTGCCTGCCTGCCTGCCTTCCTTCCTTCCACCATCTTTTTTTCTTTTTTTTCCCTTCAGTTTTTTTTTTTTTCTAGTGCTATATCAAATCCTGGGACTTGTACATATTAGGCTATTGCTATATCCCTAGCTATGCTAAAATGAGGAAGGTACAGAAAAATACCTCTAAGTGTAATAATACTTCATTAAGAGCAACAACAAAAAGACTTTAAAAATAATTCATTTTATTGAGTATATATATGATAGACCATTCCAAGTAATTCTGGTGCAAAAATGTCTAAATCTGGGTCCATACCACTCACAAAGCCAGTGACTTTCCGTGAAAAGTTTGCATATAGCAATGGCATTTATTGGACAGTTGCTGTATTACCTTTGAGGATGAAGGGTTGAACACTAGATAAATGCGTCTGAAGAGAAGCAATGATGGATGACATGCTAAGAAAGATATGTCCAATGTCATCGTGGACATTGTACTCGATAGGAAAATACACGAGAGGTCGTCATGTAGTATTACAGGAATATCTCGAGCACAGCAGGTTCTGGTGGGAGTGTAATGACTACACTGCACTTTCTCTGACTTGATATACCCAACCATCTTCTCAGAACGAGTGAACTGAAATGCTAATAGGGGCCAAGGGCAGCCGGAAATGAAGGTGAACAGCATTCGCTTAGCAACTTTGAAATCATTTAAGGATGTCTGCTCATATTTAAAGGATTCCCAATCATTCTTTTTGTGACCTGCCCACCATAATTGAATGATTAAAATACAGATTGATTGTGAACATTTTATAATCATTAAGCTAGAATGTTCATTTGAAATTAGTCTTGCCGGGCACTGGTGACTCACGCCTGTAATCCTAGCTACTCAGGAGGCTGAGATCTGAGGATTGGGTTCAAAGCCAGCCCAGGCAAAACATCCATGAGACTTATCTCCAATAAACCACTAGAAAACCAGAAGTGGTGCTGTGGCTCAAGCAGTAGAGCGTTCAAGCCCCACAACCGACGCCACCTCCACCACCAAAAAATTAGTCTTGATGGACATGGTGGTTCATGCCTATACTAACTGCTACTCAGGAGGCTGAGATCTGAGGATCAATGTTCAGCCTTGGCAGGAAAGCCTTGAGTACAAAAGTTAAGTGACAAGACCAGCGCACACACAAAAACAAAACAAAACCCTTCCTACTCCTAAAAATTCTACACAACGCCTGGATCCTTCGGGCTGTGAAAAATCGTATTGAACAAAAAGTCAGGACTGGGGATGTGGCTTAGGTAGAGAGCTTGCCTAACGTGCATGAAGACCTGGGTTTGATTCCTCAGTACCACATACACAGAACAAGCCAGAGTGGTGCTGTGGCCTTGGGAGGCTCAGGGACAGAGGCCAGGCCCTGAAGTCCAGACCCATGACTGGCAAAACCAAAGGGCACATAAGAAGTAGAAGTTAAAAAATTACTACTGGTAATTCAATATCCAATCTCACTGCGATCTTGAGAAGGAGAGAGGCAAGTATGTTGCAGGGAATTATATCACAGTGTCAGATGACAAACCTTTTAAGGCTTTACTATGTCACCAAGTTTGCAGGAATCGCACACAGGCCTCTCAGCATAGCCACAGGTTCTTCCAAAAAACCAATGGATTCAAGAGAAATTAGAAAGGCAGTAATCCTCCCGGAGGCGGAGATCTGGGGATAACAGCTCAAAGCCAGCCCGAGCAGGAAAACCCAGGAGCCTTATCGCCAATGAACTACCAAAACACCGGAAGTGGCACGATGGCTCAAGCGGTAAAGAAGAGCTGAGGACAGTGCTCAAGCCCAGAAATCAAGCCCACGATTGACAAAAATAGAAAGCATTACCCACTACAAAGGACAGACACCACTGCACAGAAGGAAACCCCGAAAGAACACCCGACACTATCAATCCTTGCAAGAAATACGGAATTACAAACAAGACCAACATTAACCGAAAAAGCTGGAGCAGCTCCCGCGGGTTCGAGCAGAAACAGAATAGAAAATGAAGTAGAAAAATTAGCCGAGATAGGGACAGTAGTCGAAACAACCAAGAAGAGCTAAGTGGAGAAACTAAAACCGCACCCAGCCAAGTCTGCTATTGAAACACCACAAATGTTCCCCGAAGGGATGCACCGTTCCCGGAAGTACTGCAATACCGGGTCGATGCGTGGAGTGGACGGAGCAAGCTCCTATTCCATCTCCGAAGCCCAAAAATCCATTTAATATATTGTCCTCGGATAGAGGACGTATCAGATATTAAACTGATAAGAACAGATACTACACTTGATCTTAGCCAAAAGGCCGAGAAGCGATACCCGACCGTCTCGCCTCACCGCTTCCCTACGCCGCTCCTACACATTGCACTCGCGGTCACAAACACGACCTCGCTTCTCTAGCTCCTCCGCCTCATCCATTCAGAAATAAACCTCATCACACTCCCGATCGAATTTACTTTGGTCGCCTTTGACTCGAAATGTTGAGTCCGCGGTTATCCCGGCGTCCCCCGGGCTGAGGCTTCCTCCCTATTCTGCATGTCCCCGCCCTCACCGTCTGAGGGGCGTGGTCACGGAGGGGCTGGCTCCACCTCCGCGCCGGCCGGGGGGCCGGGGCCGGCTCCGGGAGCCCGGGTCCCGGGCCAGGGCTGGCTGCCGGGGCCGGCTGGGCTGCGGGCTTCACACCCGCGGTGCACCGTGCGCGAGCGGGTCGGCGGTCGGCGGCCGGCGGCCCAGATCTTTCTCACGAGAGACCGGGCTGCGCGGCGCACGCCGAGCTCCCCGCCCGCGTGGTCTCTGATCCGCGGCGGCCCTCCCCGTTCCCCCCTCGGAGGTCCGAGCTCTCTGAGCGCCGCGCGGGCCTGCGGACCCGCCCCGAGCGGGCTCCTGTGCGCGTGCGCGCCGGGACCAGGCCTTGAACTCGCGGCCGGGGCGGCCTCCCTTAGCGCGTGTGCTCCGGGGCGGCGCGGAGCCGCGCGGGACCGGAGCTCCGGTGCCGGCCTCCGGGTGGGTTGTGCCTCGGAGATGCGAGTCTGGCCGGCGGGGCTGCCCGGGCTGGCTTCGAACCGCCCTCCACGCTGGCGATCCCGGGGCGGGGGAGCAGGGACCCTGGGTGGTGTCCGCCCGCGGCCGGTGGTAGCAGCGATCCGCCCCGATGGCTGAGAGCATCGTGGGTGAGCGGGCCCGGGGCTGGTCCGACGCGGCTGGCGCAGCCCCGCGTCAGCACCGGGCGATCGCGGATAGCACAGCGCTGAGCACCAGGGAGACGCTCGCGGCGACGGCTCGCGTGGCTGGGGTCGGCCCGGGGCTGGGCGGTGGGTGACGCCTCGCCCCGTCCCGTTTGCGGGGGTTCAGGGCCCGGCTCTCCTCCCACACCAGGGGTCACAGGGGCTTCTGGCATTCTCCCGTTCATCCGGGGTTGTCTCGGTGAGGATGCCCGGGACAACCCGACGTGTCACAGAACGCGGAGAGAGAGAGAATAACACGCCCTGGGCCGGGCACGGTGGGGCTGCGGGGCGGCTCACGCCTGTAATCCCAGCTGCTCAGGAGGCCGAGAGCTGAAGAGGAGGGTTCGAAGCCAGCCCGGGCAGACTAAAGGGCAAGACTCTTAATCTCCAATAACCGGTCCCAGAGCGCAAGGTGGAGGCGTGGCACCCGCGGTGGCGTCCCCATCCTGAGCCGGAGAGGCAAGCGAGCGGGAGAGGCCCTGGGTTCAAGCCCCGTACACGCGCGCGCACACGCACGCGCACGCGCACGCAGCCAGCATTCAAGTCTAGAAAGCCCCGGGCGCGCTCGGGTCTGGAGTCCCGGGCGGAGCGGGCCCGCGCGGGGGTCGGACGAGTGGAGAACGCCTTCCACCCCCGCTGGGGAGGGCGGGGCGGGCCTTTGATTCCGCCGCTGGGAAGCGCGTCCGGACTAAGTATAGCTGGGGTTTCCCGACCCGGCGCGTAGCACCTGGCTGGAGTCCCGGCTCCGTCTTTAGAGGGCAGCAGAGGGGCGTCCCGGGGACGCATGCGCCCTAGTTTGCGCCCGGGGAATTAAAAAGAGTAGGGAGAGAAAGACCGAGAAGGAAAGAAAGAAAAAAGCCGGAGAGAAAAGCCGCACCAGCCACCCGCGCGCCCTCCACGCGCCCCTGTGCGTGATGCGCACCGCCCCGGCCCCGGCCGCCGCCGTCCGCGCTCTCCATGGGGCTGGGGCGCTGGCTGCGGAGCGCCTGCTGCTGCCCGTGCCCGTGCCGGGACGAGCCCGCGCTGCCCGAGAAGGAGCCCCTGGTCAGGTGGGTGCCCGGCCCGCCGGCCCGGGTGGGCGGTGGGGCGGCCGCCGGGGGCCGCGACGGCCCGGGCAGGTGCGCCGCGTCCTGGGTCACCCGAGGCGCCCGCACGGCCCCGGGGATCTGTTGGGTTAAGAGTCTTAGACTGACAGCCCCGGGCGAAAGAAGTTTGTGGTTGGTGGTGGTTGTTTTTCTTTTCTGTTTCTTCCTTCCTTCCTTCCTTCCTTCCTTCCTTCCTTCCTTCCTTCCTTCCTTCCTTCCTTCCTTCCTTCCTTTCCTTTCCCTCCCTCCGTCTGTCTTTTTCTTTCTCTCTTTCTTTCTCTCTCTTTCTTTCTTTCTCTCTCTTTCTTTCTCTCCCTTCCTTTCCTTTTCTTTTCTTTTCCTTTCGTTCTTAACCAGGGAGACCCAGATGAGGCTTGTGGAATATGCTAAGAACTTAGCCTAGGTCCCTAAGCAGAGAAATCAGGGAAGAGAAGGAAGTTTCCATGGGGCTTTCTGATGCTTTTCACTGATGGATTTCTCTGTCACTCGCAAAGAAGTTGGCTACGGGATCGTTCAGTGTTATTGTCAAAAAAAAAAAAAAGATCATCTCTGTAAGCAAGAAAAATATTTTTTCTCATGAAAAATGCATATGCGGTCTGGGGCACACGGCTCCTGGTGGCATGGATTCATTAGAGGCCGAGCTATGACATTAGAGGCCGAGATTATGTCGTACTCCCTGGCTGTTTCCGAAGAGGCTTTGTGAGGAAACGCTTCTGCACAGTTTTTTTTCCCCCCCGGGGCTGTGATTTCTTCCTTTCTTTTTTTACACAATGACTTGATAGCTGGAATTTAAGTTACCAGTCCTGCCAGCCGGCTGGCCACAAACAGAGACACATGGGTGAGAATGTTGAAAGGGGTGACAGGAATCAAGATACATTGTGTTCTCAAAGCGCTTTGTTCACTGGCAACGCCTTTGCACAATCTACTTAAAGAGAATAAATAAAGGTAAATAAATAAAACTAGGAAGTAATGTATGAAGTAGGGTTTTTTTTAAAGCAAATCCTGAAGCCATTTTCTTTAGCAGTATGTAAATCACTGGGTGCTGGTAATCCTAGCTACTCAAGAGGCAGAGATCTGAGGATTGGGGTTTGAAGACATCCAGGGCAGGAAAGTCTATGAGACTATTATCTCCAATAAACTAAACTCCAGAAATGGAGCTGTGGCTCAAGTGGTAGAGTGCCAACTTTGAGTGAAAGAGCTAAGGGACAGCACCCAGTCCTTTAATTCAACTACCAATACGCGCGCGTGCGCGCGCACACACACACACACACACACACACACACACACACACACAGAGTATGCCGGTAAGATCCTGCCACTTTCATAACACTGTCTAAATCATGACTTAGTCTTTCAAGTCCAGACACTTCCCTTGATTTTGGAGGCTTGTGTAACCCCTTCCTGCCTGTACCCTCTTTTTTTTTTTTTGTCAGTTGTGGGGCTTGTCCTCTGGGCCTGGGCGCTGTCCCTCAGCTCTTCAGCTCAGGGTGAATACTCTACCACTTGAGTCACAGTGCTACTTCTGGCTTTTTCTGCTTATGTGGTACTGAGGAATTGAACTCAGGGCCTCATGCATGCAAGGCAAGCACTCTACCACTGAGCCACCTTCCCAGCCCACCTGTGCCCTCTTAATAATTCGTTGTGTGCCCTGTGCTGTAGGAAGAATCCACGCAGCACTTAAAGCCGGCAGGGAGGTAGAAACCTTTGCTTCTGTAACCTCTTCCTCAAGCTACTTTTCCAAGTCTCCTCTAGCAGTCTTGTTTGATCACAAGATCCTAGTTCATCTTCCTCCCTCTGATTTAGGAGTTTATCATCAGCTCTTCTCTGTTTAGGAAGCACATATATGCCATGTGTATTATCTGTATATACGGTGATGTATACCCCATCCACATATTGTTTTTTAAAATTGCTTTTGAGAATAGTACTCCCACTTAGATTTCTAGATTGTTGTGGGCAAGCTGAAACCAAGTTGTGTTGGATTTCAGGTTTGGGTTATACATACACTCAACTTGTCAGTGCTCTTAGTTACCACGAAATACACCCTTCCGCTTAGCTTCGTCCTCAGAGCTTTGGGCCATTTCTCATGTTCTCAGATTGCTACTTTAGTCAGTGGTTTTGCTTATTTTCATACCTACACCTTCCCCTGTCTTATACCAGTGGTGAACTTCACGATTGATGGGCCAGGTTGGTGGGAGGTGCTCATGGGAGGTGCTCAGCGTGGCATCCATGAGTCTGCTTGCAATGGAATGAGTCACCCATGTGGGTGAGTGAGCATAGGGTATTAAACCTCAGTTTCCTCATCTGTAAAATGAGGCTGATAATGGTACATACTTCAAAGGATTGCAGTGAAAAATGGAAGGAAACAAGTGTTTAATATAGTGTCAGACACATAGTAAAGCAGTTCAATAAAGTTTAGCTATTAAGTATCATGGTTGCTCTTCTGAGCATGTGGCTATGAGTGGCTTAGTGTCATTCTGGCACCTTTTCAATGGGCAGCTTATTCATGCCTGTGGGGCACTGGTGTTTTGTATTTATGGGACCTACACATTCTTTCCTACCTAGACCATCTGAAGGTCTGGTTTTAAATCTTCCTTTCATCCTTGTTTATTGTGCCAGGCCTGGGGCTTGAAGTCAGGGCCTGCATGCTGTTCCTGAGCTTTTGTGCTCAAGGCTAGTGCTCTTATTAATTGAGCCAAAGCTCCACTTCTGGCTTTTTTGGTGGTTAATTGGAAATAAGAGTGTCATGGACTTTCTTGCCCACAATGGCTTCAAACTGTGATCCTTGGGGATGGGAATGTGGCAGAGTGCTTGCCTAGCATGCATGAAGCCCTGGGTTCAATTCCTCAGTATCACATAAACAGAAAAAGCAGGAAGTGGTGCTGTGGCTCAAGCGGTACAGTGCTAGCCTTGAGCAAAAGAAGCTCAAGGACAGTGCCCAGGTCCTGAGTTCAAGCCCAGGACTGGCCAAAACAAAACAAAAACTCACACACAAACCCCACTGTGGTCCCCAGATCTCAGCCTCCTGACCAGCCCCAGTGTTATTTGCCAAAAACAAAACACACACACACACACACACACACACACACACACACACACACACACACACACACACACACACACACACACACACACACACTGCACTGTGGTCCCCAGATCTCAGCCTCCTGACCAGCCACTGGTACTCAGAGAAGCACATACAAAGTCGTAGACCCATTGCTGTCATCTCATCTTTATCATACCGCAGAGAAATCCCAGGCCCACAACCTCATTCCTCTTCTCATTCCTCCCACCCTCATCTACTATGTCTGTTTCTTGGCACATCAATTTGCCAGTTCTGTATATTTTGTATATGTATATATAACATATAACACAGGGCTTCTTGTACTTAGTGTTGTCATTTCAAGGTTCATTGGGTTCTAGCATGTATCCCCATTTCATTCTTTTTGATGGCTGAATAGTATTCTCCTCTGTGGAGGTATCATATTGCCTTTATTATTTATCAGTTGATGGACATATGGGTTTGTTTCTTTTTCACTTTTTTTTTTTTTGGCTGTGATGAATACTGCTGCTGTGAATGATCCTGGTCAGGTTTCTGTGTAAATGTGGTCCCAATTCCCCTGGGTGAACCCAGTGGTTTTGTGTCATGAGGTAACTTCATCTCTAGCCTTTCAGGAACTGTCATTCTGCTTCTCAGAGCCTTGCTTTGAAATATTGATGGGGTAAAGTCATGTAGCCAGATGGTCAGAATTATTATTTTATGACAACTTAATTCTTGGTGTCATCTTTTCTTCTTTCACTTGGGGGGGAAGCATTTTGTACAGATACCTTTTTTTCTTCCCTGCACTAAATTCTTTATTCTCTGGGAGGATGTTTTCATCTTTGATTTACCCCCTAAGGACTCAGTGCTGGTAAGAGGTGTCAGAAGGGGACATGGGGATTATTATTACCTCCAGCACTTTCTAAAAACACACAGGGTCCCTTGTCAATTCTTGGTCTTAGCTCACATGCAGTCTGACAGTGCCATTTACATTTTGTTGTTGTTGTTGGTGGTGGTCATGGGGCTTGAACTCAGGGCCTGAGTACTGATCCTGAGCTTTTTCTGCTCAAAGGTAGTACTTTGAACCACAGTGTCAGTTCTGGTTTTTTTGGTGGTTAGTTGGAGAGAAGAGTCTCACAGACTTCCCTGCCCAGGCTGTCTTTGAACCACAATCTTCAGATCTCAGCTTCCTGAGTAGCAAGGATTACAGGTATAATCCTTGCCACGGGAGCCTAGCCCTGCTTTAAACCTTATATGCATAGTGTTTCCTGCACATAGGCTCCTGTGTGCGATTTCTTTTCACGCATTGTCACTTAATCATTATGGTGACCAAAATGAGCGTAATATTAATGATTCCATCTATAGAAGGAGAGCCTAAGGCTCAGAGAATTTAATATATTCACAATTTAATATATTCACCACTAATAATGCAGGGAGCATTTGAACCTATATCGATCTGATTTCAAAGTCTATTTCTAGCCCAGCACCTGTGGCTCACACCTGTAATCCTACCTACTCAGGAGACTGAGATTTGAGGATTGAGGTTTGAAGCCAACCTGGACAAGAAAGCTCTTGAGATTCTTATGTCCAATTAAAAAAGCAAAAAAAGTAGGAAGGGCTGGGAAGTTGGCTCAGTGGTAGAGTGCTCGCCTTGCATGCTTAAGGCCCTGGGTTTGATTCCTCAGCACTACATAAGCAGAAAAAAAAAAGCCGGAAGTGGCGCTGTGGCTCAAGTGGTAGAGCACTAGCCTTGAGCTGAAGAGCTGAGGGACAGCGTCCAGGCCCAGAGTTCAGGCCCCACGACCGGAACCCCCCCCCCCAAAAAAAAGTAGGAAGTGAGGGTGTGGGTTAAAACTGGCAGAGCATCAACCTTGAACAGAAAGGCCAGGGATAATGCCCAGGCCCTGAGTTCAAATCCTATAATACT